AATGCAGTAAACACATCAATAAAATATTTTTTAAAATCAATAAAAATACCTCAATAAAAATGGTTTAGCATTATCCACGAGCCTCTTGTGGTTACATTTTTGCAGACAGTGAACCAACATTCCTGAAACGGTGTTAGTCTGAGTGTAAAGTTCTTTGTATGGTTCATCCCCCTGGCAAATAATTACACAGTGAAGATGTGATACCTCTTATACCCTTGAAAGATTTGTGCAACAGTATTTGTACGTGTCAATCCCTTGTTTGGTTTTGTGCTTATGGAAGGAGCCCAACACTTCCGTTTTATCCAGCACGAACAGGCCAAGAAATGTCTTGGCAAAACAGGCTGCCTAGAGAGTTACCAACAGTTCATTCTTTGGCCAGATGATCTCCTCCCTGCGTTTCATTCTGCTTAATGAACCACAGTCCATTCACCTTCACCTGCTCTGGATGGACTTTTGCCATTCTTGGCTCAAGACACCAGTGGTGCCAACCAGAAAATTGGCTTTTGATCGAAACAAGGATGGAAACCCAAGACTGGGAGAACACAGCTGATCCGCCTGGAGTCTTGGCCTGGCCTTCTGGGGTTCCCTAGACAGCCTTACCTCTTTTTCCCCACCGCTGATCCAGCATTGTGCCATGTCCTTCCCACTCTAAAAAAATGGCAACATCTCTCTTGAGGTTCAGCACCTGGCAGTAAACGTTTGTGTGACACGTTTGTGCACTTTGAATGTTCACGTGCAGGACTGTGGTCAGCATTGCCCTGTGTGCCACCACTGGGCACTAGCTACTTCTGCCTCCCTGTTCGCCAGGGATGGTCCACGTGTGGTCATCCAGATGTGGTCTTAGAAGAACATTCAAAGAGAGCTGCTGGATTGAACCACGGGTTCATCTAGCCCAGAACTCTGTTCACAGGATCCTATAAGCAGGACAGAAGGGCAATGGCATCCTGCTCATGTTCCCCAGCATTTGGTGAAGTTGCTGACTCTGTTACTGGAGGGCCTTCAGCCATTAGGACCAGCAGCTGCTTGGTGGGCTTTTCTTCTCACTGTGGGCTATGCTGGCCAGGGCTGGTAGGAGTTGTAGACCAAACAGCTGCAGGTCCACAGGTTGTGCCTCTCTGTCATCCGTTCCCAAGGCTCAGTTATCTATTTTGAGGTACAGGGAGGATAGAAGTGATGGCAGGTGGACACCAGGTCTCCCAAAGCACAGCATCTTCCCCCTACTGCATACAGGGCTAAGACAAGCAGTCCCCGGATCACTGGCGGACTGATGTGACGCACAGCAGTTTCCACTGGAAATTCTGCAACAGGAAAGCACTGTTTCCCCGCCGACGAGTCAGTTTCTGGTGGGGACGTGAGGATGGGAGAGACCAGTGAGGGAGGATTGCACTGGGCATCCTTGGAGAGTTTGGCTCAGTGGGAGAGGCAAGGTGGAAAGAAGAAGAGCTTGAAGGCACAGGCCAGGGCAGAACACAAGGCTTGCCTGCTTCAGCATCGCTGATGGTCACTTGAGCTCTTTCCAAGAAAGGCATGGCTAGTCCTCACATGCTAGTTCCCTGGCCTGTGACTGGTCCAACTGCTCCATAAACAAAAGGCCATTGGTTTAAATGAACTGAGCACCATCACCTCCTTTCAGACATTGGAGATGCAAAAGCAGGGAAAACATTGAGACTGGATGAGGAATTCCTGGGAATCCCCCTCCCAGGACCTCTACAAACCTTGGCCTGTGATTGGTCCAGCTGCTCCATAAACAACTCACAAAACCATGCTCCACAATACAAGGGGTCAGGCACATGTGAGCCTGCCTTAGTAGGGATGCACGATAATTTTAGGGACACTGGGAAATATCTCAGAAGTGAAAGGATGAATAGGAGCACGGCTACAATTCTGAAATAATGTTTGCTTGTTCTCAAGCTAGCAAATGCATTGGCAAAATGCACAGTTCTCAAAAAACATTTTAAATGTTTTAAATGAACATTTTTTCCAGAAAGGATGAATTTTCAGACTTTAATCAGTGCAGAGATGAGGCTAGGAGGAAGCCTACGATGACTCTTATCTCAGTGGGGGCCTTCACCCATTTTAGCTTTCTTTTGAGCCTCCAGGAACTATCCATGGTGCTGAACTCCATTCCCACCAATGGTTCAGCACCACCAGGTATGAGGCGGACCTGCCAGAAGCATCTCCCTCTCCCCCCTTACTGCTCCTCATTCTATCACCACTGCACCTTGGGACGTCCCCTGAAACCCAGTTTCCACTGCCATATTTTATCATATGCTCCCACAATCACAAGGAAACATGGTGGGCCAGATCGGGATGCTGAAACTCGGTTCTCGTATGGACAGAAGATCTTTTTAAATAGTCTCAAGTTCTTTATTTATGCAGGAATGTGAGAATGAACTTAGTTCTTGCTCTTCCGCAGCTGCCATTGTCCATCTTCTGCAGCTCTCTCTACTCATGGAGAAGAACATGCTGCACCCATTTTACAATTGTTAAAGAAGGGGGCAGATTGGGGCTGGCTGGGTGGGAAACAGACGAGAAGCCCACAAACTGCAATTAAGAATGCGACAAACTCAAGCTTTCAAAAGCTGAGTTCTTAAAGTCATGGACCCAGATGTACAGATGGATGGTGCTTTCTCCTACATTTCAATATTTAGAAGGTCAAATCCTTTCCATCCCATTCCTGAAGGAATTTGTGAAGTTTGGTAATTCCTCAGCAAACATCACCTAAATGAAATCCTTACCCAAACCAACCAACTGTACAAGGAATGGCAGATGTGGAAATGGATCGGCTACACAATTAGTCCACTCTACAGTACAAATGAACATGATCATTAATATTGCAGATTTGATACATACACAGATTAACTGAAGGGTCTCCCATACACCCATGAGCCAGGCCTGAGCCTGCTTAGCTTTAGCATGCTTGCCACAACCCGTGCCTTCAGTCTATGATAGCTTCCAACATTCCAATACTTCGACTGACCAATCTCCAGCTGGAGGGTGACTGCCCACTGTCCATTCTCCACCATGAAACCACCTTTATAGGAATTTTCGCTTAAATCTACTTCCCAGGGGAAACCCTGTCACAGGAGCGAGAAGGGTGATGCAATTTAAAAAAGGGCAGGGATCATGAGTATTTTGTAGGAGAGAGAAATGTGACAGCTTCTCTTTGTCCTACAAGGATGAGAAATGCAGCATCTGCTGACATAGTACACGACTATGGAAGAGACCAAGCGACTATCATACCCACCAGCCTCCTAGCTCCCTAATGTCAAATCTCACAGTTCTTACCAACTAAAATGAATGTTGGTTGCTTAAGAAGCTCCCGGTTATGTCTTATTCAACAAAAAATTTCTGGATTTATTGAACACCATGCATCTCATTAATAAAGGTTTGGCTTAGTTGATTAATTCTCATCGGTGTAATATGTCTAATGAGCTTTTGGGCAATGCCCAATAGTGGTCTCTTTTGAGGAGGAGGTTATAATAGGAATAAACTTTGTACTGGAAGACTGATATTTTCTGATGTACATGCTCTCTTAAATGATCAGGTAATGCACAGTCAGCATAAATTGCATTTCTGCACTCTTTTGACAACTAAAAAACAGTTACTGTAACATGGAAAGATAAAAACTCACGCCTTGTAACCCAACAGATCAAAGACCTAAGAATGCATTCCATATTTGAACAGATAGAGACAACATTCTCGTATGGATGGATGGATGGATATATATATGGATATTTGAATATATGCTGTTATATTGATGTTCATACTTAAGCAATTATTCATTTCAGGTTTTTTAAATTTAGACATTATTTTTGCAATATTCACCATATAAATACATGGTAAAAAAGGAGGGGGGTCACAGAAATCAAAGGTAGGTAGCAAGTTAATCATCAAACAATACCCAAATGAGTCAACCATACCTAAGGGAAGTCTCAAAAACTCACTGAAATACACCTGAGAAAGCAGTTAGAGAGAGCAAGGTCTCCCTGCAGTAGTTTCACTGGGACCAGCTTCCAGCTGGTTCCTGCCTTCCCAGAATGGCCTCCATCAACAGTCTTTCCACCCGGCTGCCTCTGGGGAAGGGGCCACGGCTCAGTGGTGGAGCCCCTGCTTTGCACACAGAAGGCTGCACGTTGAGTCCTGGCATCTCCAACAAGAGAAGGGAAGAATCCTTCCTGAATCTCTAGAAAGCCACTCCTGTCTGCCAATACCTAATTAGATAGACCCAGGGCCTGACCTGGAGTTTGGGTCCACATGATCACTGGGGAAAAGAAGCCTTGCCTACTTTGGCTCATTGTAGAGATCTGAGATGGTCTGGAAGCCACCTGCTGCTGAACACCTCAGCAGGTTCAGATGAGATGGCATCCCAGTGCACCGTGGGTGTTCAGAGCACTGGACTGGGACTCAGGACATCTGGGTTCTAGTCCCCACTCAGCCCTGAAACCCACTGGGTGACTTTGGGCCAGTCTAAGACTCCCAGTTCATCCTACGTGACAGGGCTGTTGTTGAGAGGAGAAGAACCTTGTAGACCACCTTGGTTCCTTGCAATAAGAAGAAAGGTGGGGAATAAATGTGGTGGTGGTGGTGGTGATTAGGACCCATAAGCCACGAGGGTAATTAGCTAAATCATGCAGCATGCAACTTGCACACGTGGAGACAGAGAAAGGAAGCTGCGGTGCCTTCCTTTCCCAGGGGAACGGGCAGATCAGCCAGCATAAAGGTTGGCAGAGAGAGCTTTCCAGAGCTTCAGGCAGAATTTTTTCCTAGCCCTACCTGGAAATGCTCGGCACTGAGCCAGCAGCCTTCTGTTTGCAGGAATCTCTTTCTCAGGGCTGGTTGTCAAAGCCGATGCAGTCCAAAGCCCCTCAGAGTCTAAAGAAAGGCTTTTAAGAGAGCTCCCGTAGGCACTCCTGAAGCAACCATGCCAAATATCCCTCATTCTGCCAGCATCAGCAAGCGGACCAGGCCGCAGCCTCCCCACCCATTCGCCAACCTACCGACACTCGTTATTTTCTGGGAGGCCAGATCGTGAAGCAACGCTCCGATTGCCGGGTTGTGCCTGGAGTACAGTTCGTATCGATTAATGCCAATGTGGAACTTTAGCCAGTTTGGATAGGAATCAATCGACGTTTCCCCAGTGGGTAAAAATTCTTCATCTTCATTGCCTTCGTTTTGCCTACCAAAGGAAAAACAAACAGAGAGATGGCATTGAAGTTTGGGTTTCATTAAGATGCCAACACCGTACTTTGCGACGGATTGTGAGGTGGGAGGGTGGGTGGAAAGGAGGAAGAACGGGACCCATTCCAAGTCTGGAGGGGTGCCAAGAAAAGCACTGCAGAAGCCAAGGCAGTTCTTAGCCCTCCTTGTTCTGCAGCCCAACTTCTAGTTGAATGCCAGGATGGTGTAGTGCAAAGGTGGGCCGATGGCAGGTCCCTGGATTATCTGGACTCCAACCCCCAGAAGCTCCTGCCAGCACAGCTAACGGTCAGGAATTCTGGGAGCTGAAGTCCAAAATACTTCTATCTTCTGGGAGCTTCTGGCAGAACCATGACTGGTACAGTGATTCAGGTACTGGATCAGGGATTGAGAGACAGGTTTTCCAGCACTGCTTAGCTATGGAACTCATTTTATTTATTTAAAACATTTTTATGCCGCCCCCATCGCAACAAAGCCTCGGGGTGACTCTCAGACTTAACCTACCTCACAGAGTTGTTGTGAGCATAAAAATGGAGGGAAGGGGTTTTGTGTGCTCCATTTGAGGGCTTCTTGGAGAAAAGGTGGGGTTAGAAATGCAATTAATAGCTTGCGTGTTCATTCTGGACCACAACAACACTTGTCAATTATGATAATCACTCCTACATTAAAATCAGCATGAAAAACACCATTTCCCCCAACTAATCCAGTCTGGACTCCATGAAAGGGAGTTGCCAGTTTCACTGCATGAAAAGAGCTCCCTGAACATTGACAACTAGCAGGCCAGGGGAGAAAGGTCCAGCTTACCTCTCTCCTTGACTGGCTGTTTTCTGATGCTCAGCTGAACAACACAGTTCTCCCCACCACAGCCCGGAGTGGTACTGAAGAATTCTGGCCACCTACAGCTGCTCGAGCTGCAACCCCTAACCATGCTTACTAGGACATTCACCCCACTGGGAATGGAGGAACTCCCTTCCCAGCAAAGATGAACAAATGCATAAATAAAATTATACGCTGACCCTATGGAACAGAAGCTAAGGAAGGCCTGAGAAGCTGCCCTGGGACTGAGACTCTCAGGAGAGGCACCAGAGCTAGTGGGAAGTTGTGTCCCCCCAAGGCCCAGGCATGGGGAGACCAGTGAGGCACCACCCTTCAGCTCCAGGGCACCTATTACCCCACTCTGCTGGAAAGAGGGGTCATATGGCCCATTTTACAGTCCTCTATTTGCAGGGCTGAGACAGGTCTGGTGCCCTCTGCATGGAGGCTGCCAAGATGCACCAACTGGAGGCCCAGCTGGATGTTCAGAAAAAATGCATGCCAGAGGAGGAGGAGGAGGGGGAGGAGGGGGAGGAGAAAAGGAAGGCGAAGACACTGCTGCTGTTGCTGCAGCAGATGAATCTGTATTCTGGTTCATGCAGAGAATATCCATGGTTACAGGAAGGTCTCCTCTTCAGACTGTCACCTTCCTCTTCAGACTGTCACCCTCTATGAGTCAAGGGTGATAAACTCAATGAGGAAGAGGCACGGAGCTGGAGGGTTCCTTCTCCCACACACTGATTTTAACTCTTTCGGAACACTCCGGTAAGGCAATAGAATTAAAGGATTCTGAGGCCAGGCATTTGTCTGGAGGACCAGACCTGAATGGAGCTTGTAGTCCTTTGAGCGGCTCTCCCTGTTACCCAAGTGTTCCTTATTCCAGGAATACCATTTAAGGTGGGTGAGAGAGCTTAACGTGGGGGAGTCAGAAGTCCTTGGCAAGCCTTTGCAGATCACCAAAAGATCCACCAGCTGGTTCGGAACTAGATGACACTTTCCATCCCTTCCTTATTGGAAGAGTTCTCCGATCTAAGTCTGGCTTATGGATAAAGAGCCGGCCCTTTGGGGGTACCCATCCAGAGCACCTGGACAGCAGACGGAGCAAGGGGTAGCAGTCACCTGGCCACATTTTCCCATGGTTTGGCAGGATGTACTGCGGTCTACTTCAATTATATGAATGATTTCTAAACGTGCATGTGATTGTACCATGTGCAAATCTGTGTCCTCTTTTTTGATGATGCATTTCCTCTTTTTTTGCATGGTTCATTAGTGGCTGCTGTTCCAGGCACCCTGGAACGGTAGAACCAAAGGCGACAACACTTTGGACCCATCCATCCACCGAGGTACTAAAAGCTGGGAGGGCATCCATCGCCATCACCAGCTGTGGACTCTGACTCCCAGCAGGTGCAACCAGCCTGGCTGGATGTATAGAAGTTGTAGTCCAAGATACCTGAAGGGCAGTAGGTTGGGGGCAGCTGACTGAGTCTAAGAGAATGACTCAAAAGCAGGGGGTATATTGCTAAGGTCTCCCTTTCAGCAACAGACACTGAACTTCTTCTTTGGTGTTGTGGGCAGGGTGGGGCCTTGATGTTCCTATCTGTGAGGAAGGTTAATAGTTTGCTTCTGCCTTTCATCCTTTCTCTGCCTCTTGTTTCGCTGTGTGGATGCATTTAACCTTGTCAGTTTTTCGGGGGTGGGGGGGAGGAAGATGTCACATGTAGCTTTGACATCTGATGTATTTCTCGGAAAAGTCCAAAGGCCCCAAAGATGACCTAGGAACAAACTGTACAGCTAACAGACAAAACACACCAGAAAGATGAGGAACAGAACATGAAAGCAGCCAGGTTCCCAAGCCACCATTTAACTGCAGATTTGTGTTCTGTTTCTACCCCACCTTCTTCTGCTATCTCAGTCCTCCAGTGTAGGATTGCTGGCTCTTTGGGGCAGGGGATTGCCATCACTGAGTGTGAGGCACACGGAAGGCAATAGGTAATAAACAGAGCATATCCCTGGCTTTGAAAAGCCCATGTCTCCCTACCCAGCCATGTTTTCCAAAAATCAGCAAGGCCTCTCCGGAGAATGAATTCCACAAGGAGGATGAAGACCCTGGTCTGCTTGGCTTGAACGAGCACGTCGTGAGTAACATCTTTGGATGTTCAGAATGGGTTGGGGAGCCTCTATCATTAATATTACCTCTATAGCCCACCTCTCCCCCTCTCTTCATGGAACCAAGCCAGCTTATAGGTGCCTTCTCCCTCTATTTTATCCTCACAAGAATCTGGTCAGGTAAGCTAGGTTGAGGGTCAGTGACTGACCCAAGTCATCCAGCCAGCTGCATGGCAAAGTCAACGCAACAACCACAACGCAACAACTAGCCTTCACAACACAAAGACGACGCAAACTACTCAAGCGGCCGGCGATCATGGCATTTCTGAAGCCGCCTTCTGAAGGGTTTGATTTGAAAACCATGCTCACGTAACAGGGAAGTGACTTCTGGATCATCGAAGGAGGTCAAGAGAGAGCACAGGCTTCCAGGAAATCCCCGCATGCTAACATCTGAAGCTGGTGTGGGTAACTTCTGGCCTTCCAAGTTTTTCAGCCTTCAACAACCCCAGCCAGCACAGATGATAGCCAGGGATGATAGGAGTTGTGGGCTTAACATCTGGAGTGTCAGCATAGCTATGCTATCCCGGCATAACTCAAATTTATTTATTTATTACTGCCATTTAGGTGGAATTACAATAGCTCATGGCCGTAATGCGAAGCCCATGACCAGGTAGCCTGTCGTTATTCAATCTGCTGTCCAGGGGCTAAGGGTGTGGATGAACAACCTCAAGGACCCTGCTGCTCTCCCTCCTTAAGGCTTTAATCTTCAAACCAGACTTCCACCAGCTGGTCCTTCAAGCAGATGATGCCTTCAAAGGGAGAACTATCACCTATAAAGTAGGACACTTGGCCAACCTACTTAGAGCAGTTTGGCAGATCCAGAAATCCCAGAAAGGCCTTGATGCGGAGGACACAAGGCCTTGCTATCTTATCATGGGTACCTTCTGATCAAGGAGTATATCAACTAGTGCATGACTTTCCAAGTCCACACTCTGGAGAGGGAACTTGCTGCTCTGGTTGTTGCTGTTTTCTTAAGCGGGACCACTGTGGGCCAGGACTGTGTCTGCCTCCGGCGAGCTCTTTTCAGGGGTGCCCTGCCGGCCAGTGGCTTCTCAACAGTTGCCCAGCTGCACCGACCCTTGGCTCCAGCCCTGTCTTGTGCGCAGATGTTGCATCCACCCTGTGCTTCATGCCGTTTCTACACTTCCCATTTTTTGCCTGGTTATCTTCCTCTTCCTTCACAGAGCCTGGGGCAGAGCACTGACCTTTTCTCGCCCCAGTATTATCTTCAAGAAAGCCGAAGGAGGTGGGTAAGGCTGGAGGAGATCAGCTGGCCCAATGTCAAAGAAGAATTTCATTCTGAGAGAGGAACCTAACCTCTCTGACCCTGGCTTGGAGTTCTTCAGGTCTCAGCCCCAGTGCTGGAACAAGAAGGTCCCCCCCTCCCGACCCCCACTTCTTCACCAAGCTAAACTTAGTTCTCACTTTAGGTCTGGGTTCTTCACCAGGTTTAAGGAACTAACTCTTTTTTAGCCCCAGCAATGCTTTGGCTTGTCTTATTTATTTATATATATAAAGCATGTTTATGTCATTCTTATTTAGTCAATGACTCTCAGGGTGGTTTACAGCATATTAAAAATTTAAAACATAATCTACACTGCCAGAATAGATTCTAAAAATTGCAAGATAAAACCAATAAAAATATTACATTAAAGAGAATAGAACAGAATGTAAAGTTAAGAATATAGTCTAATAGAAATGACTATGAGATCAATGAAATCATGGACAAATTCAACAAACAAATGGCCAAACAGTTTCATATAAAATAAAATAAGGTAAACATATTTTAAATAACTGTTAAAATACTATGAAAATAGAGCAAAAGGGTTTTGTTTGGTGCTGAAAGGTGTTTATTTATTTATTATCTCTAAATGTCCCATTAGCCACCTGGCTCCCTGGATAGTGTCGGCACCAGGCACATCTCTCTGGAGAGCTGTTCCACAACCAGCATGTCATGATTGAGAAGGCCCTTCTCTGGGGAGCCAACTGCCCTAAATCCTTCATAGCCGTCCGCCAGAGAAGGCCCTCGGACGACGACTTTGGGGTCCAGGCAGGTATATGGGAGGAGATGTTCTGTTTGGTTTGTACTAAGCCATGGGTCCTCAGACTAAGGCCCAGGGGCCGGATCTGGCCC